GGCGGGGGCCCACCGGCCCTCCTCCCCAGCCACCATGGAGCTGAGGACCTGGCGGAGCGGGATCGAGCTCTCCCTCGGGCTCCTTCTCCTTTGGGCTCTCCTTCCTCCCGAGGTGCCCGGGAAAGAAGGTAAGCGTAGGCCCCGTGGTCCTGGAGGGTTGGGCTTGGGCGGGCAGGCCGAGAGGGGCAGGGAGCATGGCCTGGCCAACAGGCCTGGGGCCCCAGGACCACCACAGCCCACCCGGAGGGAGCTGCAGAAGGACTGGGGTGTCTGGGGAGGGCGGGTGGGTGTGGGATGATGAAGGCCAGGAGCAAACCCCATCAGAGTCTTGGTGGCTCAGTGAACTGAGCCCAGGTACATTCTCCCCCTCTCAGCTGAAGCACAAATGCCTCGGCATATCCAGTGATCCAAGAGAATTCTGTCTCTGTTTGCCTTAAACACAAGCGTTGCAGATAACAAGTTTAAACACAAACTCAGAAAGCTTCTTCCCCCGCTGCCAACACCCCCGCAGTTTCTCCAGGAAGCCCTCTTGGGAGTTAACCCTTGTGAGCAAAAGGACAGTCATTTTTTCAGAGGCTTGGAAGGTGAGACAGTCTCCTTCACCTACCCCAGTGTTGCAAGGTAGAGCTGGGCTTTACAAATCCCTCTTCCACCTCTTCTCTTAAGTTTCTCTTGCTTCCCTTCTCTGTTCCACCTAGTCCCTTTTATTAGGTGTAGTGATCTTTTTTTCTTCCATCTTGGCAGTTGCACAGTGGTTATGAAAGATCTGGGGAATGGGAATTTTTAAAAGAGAGGTGAGGAAGAGTAAATCGCTGTTCTCTTCCCTACCTTGTCCTGTAGTTAATTCCTGCCAGAGACCACTAGTCTGTTGCACAGTGAGAGGTGCTGGGGCTTTTTGATCCCAAGGACAGCCCTCTCCTCTGCTGCTCCAGGCTCTTGATCAAGACGACTTCGTCATAACTGGAAGCCATGGGCTCATCTCAGACTCTGCAAGTGCTGAGTGTGCCTTTAAAGCGTTCTTGACAAGCATGTTTTTATTAAGGATCCAGCTGCATGGATGCAGCTAGCAGACATGGTGGGTGAAGGCCAGCCAAGGAGAGAACTAACATAACGTAGCACTACATGGGCTCTGGTTTCCCTGAGTGTGTGACCAGTAGTTGGCAGTAACACTCGGGGACTTCTCTGCCAGTTTCTCCCCCGTCTCAGCCATCTTATTTGGGCTGTCTGTGACCCACTCTTCCTTCATGTGTCTACCTGGGAACAGCTAATTTCCTCCGTGTCCTCTCTTATCTGAAGTCTTTCTTCTTTTTGAGGAGGCCTCCTTCCATGTAGCTGGAGAGCCACATGGCATTCCTAGCAGGGAGGCCGTGGACCAAAGAGCTTAACTCGTGAGTACTCATATTCTCTGTGCTCTTGTAGTCCTTCTGACTCCATCCTTCCTTTCCTTGGAGAATGGCTTCGCTTTGAGGGGTACTTCTTGAAAGTGGACTTTGCCCCCTCCAGGCACCTGGCAGCTGAAGGAGCCACTGCCAGCGGTGCAGCAGCAAGGCACACGGGCTCTGCAAGGTTCTCATCCTGGCCGCTTCTGAATTCTTTTTCCCTTGCTCTGCTAGAACTTGCCATGCAGCCCCTCTCACTTCCACATCACTGCTTCAGGCCTGAAGTGCGTGGGATAGATATTATCTGGGTGACGGTTCTGGAAGGACAGGCTACCTCACCCTAGGAGTATTTTGGAGCCAACAACAAAAGAATAGTATCTCAGATACAGAGATTGAGAGCAGAAGGCAGAAGAGAAGTGAGTGAGGAGCCTTGTCTGGACAGGGAGTCTGTGGCTAGCACAGTTTTGCCATATGACCGTGCTGTGAATCTTGTGAACTTGCAAAACCTGGATTCCTGCTTTTCCCTACTAATCCTGAAAGGGTGTTTCAGAGGTAAGAACAGCAGTGCAATCCCTCTTATCTCTGATTCTGGGCCCACAGCCTGCTTCCTCATTCCACAGGACTCTTGCTGATCTGCGCTTTATTACTTATAGTTGGCAGGCAGCATTTGTGAAGCAGTCAGATGAGGGGGAGGAAATCTGGTTATTTAAATACCATTTAAATTTTCCCCCTCTCCTACCTTTCACCCCCAAATTCTTTTCTGAGATGTTTAAAAATGAACCCTCCGAATATACCCAGAGGAATCTAAAAGGGAATCCCAAGGAATTTTTCCTGTTTCCTACGTTTCCAAGCTGGGGTTGCAATAGGTGCACCAAACCCAGTAGTCTATTTTGGCAGCACTGGCAGACCCAAAAGCAGGCATGAAGTTGCACATCCAGCATTACTACTTACTCCAGCTCCTCTGGAGCTCTCCCTGTTTGCCTATGAAGTGATACATTTTAACTTCTCTTCAGATCCAGATTTGAGGGCAAACTCTGATCACACTTTCAAATTTATTTGAGGGTTAAAAGTGAACGTAGTGCTGAATTTCTCCTTTGTCACATGACTCCAGGAGCCAAGGCTTCACACAGCCACGAAGGCCGATTCTGCAAGAGGTGGCAACCTATGGCCAGTAGTCATTATTCTCTTGCAGTCTGAGCAACTGGTGCATCTCATGGCTTCTGTGTACTGTGACACTGGAAAGCCCCTTCTACAGCTTCACGCTGCCTCTGTACTTTCCCACTATGTTTCAAGCACTGAGTAGTACCCCTGGGCGACACTGATGGATCTTTTGTGTTGGTAATTTATTTGATTGCCTGCCTCTTCATCCATTTTGTCGGTCCTGTTTGGAGGAAAGATGTGTTCAGGTGTTAATGCTGTTCCCATTTCAGTAGGCTTCAGCCTCCTGCTCCCATTTTGGGACAGTTTTAGGAAGCAGAAAAATCTGTCAGGGTTGCAGATTTTGGACATGTGGGTTGAGAGATGGAGAGGAGTGTTGAAGGGTCGGGAGCCTTATATTAGAGGGACCTTTTAACTCTTGACTAGCTATACTGTCTTGCATCTTCCTGTAGCCATGCTTTTTGAAGGTCACAAAGGATGTGGGGTTGAGAGATGAAGTGCAGCCTTTGTCCTCTGTGACAAAAATGAGGATGAAGCCATTCCATGGGCCTGAGTTGGGTCACTGATTTATTTTTTTCTTCTCCTTCTGTTTTTCAGTGGATCTTCTCAACACGAGCACTGCACAGGGTGAACTGGGCTGGCTTCCAGACCCTCCAGAAGTAGGGGTGAGTAAACATGTTCAAGGAAGGGGAACTACTGGGAGTACAATGATGGAAAAGCATAATCCAAGTTGTGTCACTCTGCCTCCTTAAAGTGGGCTTCTGTAGCTCCACCCTCTCCTGGACATTGTATGCTTTGTAAGTCTCTCTCCCTTGCAGCCCCTTCACCTCTGCAGCCTCACCCACTAGCCCACTGTTTAAGGACTGATGCCTCCTTGACTTCCAGTAGCTCTTCTGATGCCTATTGACTTCCAATAGCAAGTGATTAAACATGTCCTTGAAATACATTGTTTCCATGAAGTAATAAAACTTAATGGAGAAAAAGGAAAAACCAAATAATGACCCAGGTTTTCATTCTAACATGTTGCAAATATGTCTTGTCTGTATCCTTCTCTGGGCAAGCAGCCATGGCAAAAGTATTTCTGTCTCCAAGGCTCTCAAGAATTTAGAATCTTTGTCTGTTTAAGATTGTTCTGTCTTTTTTTCTTCTTAAGCATTAAGCTGAATGATTCAGTTACATGTTTTTTAACTCAGCAGCTGACTAAAGAAATAACTGTTAAGTCATGGGGCAGCAATCTGGCCTCCTGTGTAGGCTGCAAGGTTCTAGGACTTTACACCCAGCTGTAATGCTGTGTTTGGTCCACACAGCTGATAACGAGAGAGGCATTTCCCTTTGTTTCATGACCGTAAAATTGAGCTGATGGAAGCACTTCAAAATCTACTCCTGAAACCACTACAAAACTGGACCCAAAAGATGGCTGAGCCCTCAGCTGGTTTTGCACAAGTACGGCTATTTTGTATGAAGTAGAGTTGAGCAGTTCCTTTAGCACCACAGCCTACATTACCAAAGATGGTTTCCTTTGTAACACCAGGGCTGTGGGAGTGCTGGAAGGAAGGCACAAAGAAAAGGGAATTCAGGGACTGTGCTGCAGTATGTATATTCATGCATAGTTCCAGTTCTTCACCCACGTCTTATCTTTCTAGCAAGCCCCAAGCTCTCCTGTGGAGAAAGAATCTTTGCCCTTGCTGCTTGTAAAGTAGACCTGGGTTTAGCCTGTTCCTAGCTCGTTTTCATAACTTTCCTCTGTAATGCACTGTGGCTGGTTTAAAGTCACCCCAGCCTCTTCTTCCTAGTGCACTTGTGTATACTACAGCCAGACAGTGAGGTTCTCCTGTACTGACAAAACTGCATGTGCTTTGTTAATACAGCTGTTTTGGTTATTATTATTATACCTTACTCAAAGCAGGTGCCCTAGTGAGACACACATGTAGATCATGTCTTGCCCATTGTTCCCTTTGTTGCCCCCATCAACTGTCTGTGTGGTAATTTTAACCCAATACTAGGCTCCAGGCATGTTCAGGATGAAGTCTGCCTCTTGAAGAGATTGGAAAAAATATTCTGAAAAGTGCTTTCTAAAAATAATCTGCTGGAAAGACTACAAAAACCTTGTTACAGAACATCTGATTTTTGCACAGTGGGTTCTGCACAGCAGTGCAGGTTGGCAGACCCTTTACTTGGGCTGTGTCTGCTTTTTAAAACACATGTATTTTAAATACAGTAGTTGTAACTGGGAATTGTAGAAGATGCTGGAAAACATGGCCTGAGAGCAATCTAAATGAACAGAACAGGTTACTGGTAACTGATAAACCAACAGAGGCTGAAGAATAGATTCACTGACTTCTGATGAGCAACTCGTTTGCAGGGATTTGTCTAATTACATCATTTCCCAATAACTGTTAGGTGGAAGGCTGACAAATTGCCACAAGCAAAAGGGGAACAATAGGCAATTCTCTTGGAATCAGAACTTTGACCAAGAATGGTTTCTGAAACCATTCTTCCAAAAAGCAGTAGTGTATATGTTCAAAAGGGAACTGATATTAATTCTTCTTCCTTTTTTTCTTTTTTTTTTTCTTTTTTACACAAAAGGGCTAAGATTATTATTGAATAGTCTAATTAGCTTCATTACTAACAGGCTGGAAATATCTGAGCTGTATTGGATACAGAGTTGAAGGGTCTATTTCTTGTAACACTGCTCCTTAGTACCTAGCCTTAGATGCCAGAGATCTCCCATGTGTGAGCTGGCTTTGTGTCAATATGCTTATCACACAGAAGAGGAATGTGTTGTAGAGAAATTTTCATACTTTATATGGACAAGGTCTCTGAGGCATAGCTCAGAAGAAGTTTGATAGTTCTGTGGAGGCAGAATTACACCTTTGTTTTCTCCTCACTTTTAGCCAGTGACAATGGATAAAGTGGGTTGCTGCATGTGATTGTTTCATGGCCAGACTTGGTCTGTAGCCAGTGTAGCCATTGCTTCTGCTAACACATCCTCAGCCTAAGAACACTGTATACCAGTCGGTTTTGGACAGCATGGGTCATTTTTCTGGACTTCTAGAGTACATTAACTGTCAGTGAACTCTTGCTTAGGCTTTAAGGTAGTCTTTAAGTGAAACTATCTGTACATTAAGTGTCTGTATAAGTTTGTTTGCTAAAAGGTTTGTGCTAGCTTGCTTTGTGGTAGCTGTTTAGAAAAGGTTTCACTCATTTTAGCCTACCATTGGAAACTAGACCCTTAAAAAGTCACACTGTAGTTTCTATAATCCCTTTCTTATCTACCTTACCACCCCCACACCCACATAATCTAACAAATTTCTTGATAGACTTTTTTGTCATTTAAATATTGAGGCAGCAGTACCAGCTGGGCACTGGAGCTATGTATTACACTACTAGTGGTAGATTCCCATCTTTTAACATATATTACTAATGATGGTCACTTTGAAGGTGTCAGGAGTCCAGAATTTACTTGCTCTGACATTTCTTTAAGGCTCCCCATACTGCACAAACAGCCTGGATACTTGAACTGATTTCAGAAATCACTGAAATGGTCCAAAAAGGACTTTCCAGGTCCTGTCATGAGAAAATTCAGTTACCGGTCCTAGTAGCATTGCTTCTTGGCAGCTTCTAAAATAACAGTATAGAAAGTTATTTATCTCTGTGTTACTTTCAAGTTAGAATTGCATCAGCTTGGAGTGGATGGTGATGAGGAGTCATGTTATCCTCTTGTATTTTCCTTCTAATAGACAAGGCCCTGAGGAACCCAGCCTGGCTTTGAAGTTAGCCTTGCTGTGAGCAGGGGATTGCAAAAGAGACCCATAGGTCCCTTCCCACCTAAATCTTTCTGTGTTTACATGACAGTTTTGCATCCTTTGTTAGTATTATGAGCTTGAATTTTTAGCCCAGACACAAAAGGTCCACCTAGTTTTACCTGATTTAATGTTTTGAATTGTAATATCTATTCCTATGGATTTTCTCTACCAGTTTATGTAAGCCTATGACACAACGTAGTGGACAATCCAATATCTGTCTTTAGTTGCTATCATTCTTTCACTCCTACCTTGAGGGCCTGTTTTGAAATTTCCCTTTTGCCTACTATTTCTGGTTTCCTTTTTGTGTATGTGAATGGTGTTTACATAATCCATTCATACTTTCATGAGAATGTGTGACTGCTTAAGTTACTAGTCACTAGTACTGCTTCATACTGGGCCTCTCAGTATGACTTTTTCTCTATGCTGTTGAATGGCCTATTTTCACCAGTTCTACAGCTATCTTTGCTTGTGGAAGAGTCTTTTTTTTCCACAGTAACTTTGTTTTTAAATTGGATCTCTATTATTTCAGAAATCACATGAAATCTGCTGCTGCCACTAATTGCCAAATTGTGTCAAATTTATTACATATCAGAGGTTCATCTATGCTCAGTTCTCAACTGGTAGCTGGTTTATGGAGCTTATTTTTCCCAAAATATATTTCTGCATGGATCACAGTATTATTGAAGCTTCAAGATTATTTTCTTAGTCTCCTTTCTGCGCTGCCATTATTCTCTATCTCCTATGCATGGTGAGGTAGAGGACATAATTTTTTCTTCCTATTCCATAGTCTTACTTGTTTCCACACATACTTCAAAGTGTTGCTATCAGTTTCAAATTTTCTGCCAGGTCTCCCAGCGTACATGGCACCTGATCTACTCAACTTTTCCAAAGTCTACCCTCACACAGGCCTAAAGATGTCCATTTAATCCCAGTAACCTAATGTACCCAGAGACTATTAATAAATAGCCACTAACTACAACTCTACTGGCTCCAAAAACGCTTGAAAAACTTTGGAAATGATGTAATTCTTGTGTAGTTCTGCAGCACATGTTTCACAGGAGGTCTGATTATGAACATAGCAGATGCCAAAGCTATCTGAATGCAATTTGAGTAAGCCAGTGCTCAGGGTTTTGGTGTTTGGGTGGGATTGTTTGTCTGTTTTCTTTTTTTTTAATGCTGTTATTTTCCTACTAAATCTCAGGCATAGTAAAAAATCTACACTGCTCAATAATTTCCTTTAGATAATAGGCTAGATCAACTACCTGTGACCTGTCAGCAACTTTTATATCACTGCCTACACGATAATTCTTACAAGCTTGCAGGTTCTAGCAAGGCGATGTTGTGTTCCACCAGACTGAGAGGCCTCAGATGTTAACAGCAGCTGATGGCTGGTTTCTGTTTCCACCACTCCTGCTCAGATAGGCCTGCTGATGAAGGAAACAGTGCTGTGGGCCACACAGCCCTCAACCTGCAAGTGACTCCAGCACAACACTCCTATTTCATTAAACCTAGGCAGTTCAGTTACTCAGACTTCTTGGTATCTCACTCAGATAGTCTTACCTGGGGCGAGTCTCAGCCAGTCAGCTTTTTGTAGCATCCAGAGGTGGTGTGAAAAATAACTATCAGAAATGCTATTATTATGTGCATCTCTTCCCACAGCTGTTGACAATACGTGTCCTTTAAGATCTAACTCAGAGGGATGTCATCACCTCTGAACCTGGAACAGGGTTAGAGCAGTATATACCTCAGGCTGCTCTCAGCTTAAGTATCAGGTGCAGAGATCAGCTCTTCCATGTGAACAGGATCTGTATAGAAATAAGGGACAAATACTTAGTAAAGTCAAAAAACAACTGGAAGTG